AGCAGTCTGACTCAGATAATCGCAGTACTGATTACATGACCAAACGGTCAAATGTCCAGCCACTGACCGGAAGTTGGTGGGTTCGGAAATCTATGAGCTTTGTGAGATTCGTACTACTGACAAATTATAAGCTAGGATGTAACAGCTATAGATTCACATGGTTTGGGGTTGTTTGAAACCCCCTGCCCATGTAGAATCAACCACCCTCGAAAGTGGTTCACGGACCTAAAGCTGGACAGGGTGAGTTCTATGGTCAAAGATGTCAAACTAACGTCCGTTCAGGCTATGGCCATCAAAAGCTATTTTAGTGACAGTTCACCTCCTTCATGTTTCATGGCATAGAGGTCAAGTCGACGGAGAGGGACACGCAATATAGTCCCTGTTAAGACAAATATTTTCCTGATGTACGATCTACATTCAGCAAACAGATTTATCACGCCAGAAGCTAACTCACTTTCGAAACACATGAAACCTTCCCGCATCTTCCTCACTGAAGTAAGTCATTTTATCAGTCATTCAATCATTATTTGTTTACCAATTTGCTGCACAAATCAAAAGGCAGTATCAGAATGCAAGGTAATATGAACTATGAAGAGGCGAGGGTGGTACACGGGAGCTGAGAATTTGATGGAGAAATAGTTAGACGTATTCAACTTTTCAAAGAATAATTATCAGTGACGAGTAATTTTCCAAAGCATCTCATCAATATAAATTAATTATAGAAACCTCCATCATACTGTTTTTTTACGAAAGAAAAGGCACAAATGGGGATAAATGTGCTCCTAATCACCCATCTTGAAACAGCTCATCGATACTAGACCAAGGAAATTGCATCAACCTCCATTACCACTTGGCCTGACAAGATGATCCGGGCAAAAATTGTTTGTCCAGTTAGACCGACACTGAGGGGCAACAGGCGGGCGAAAAAATTTCGATTACAATGGGTAAACTCCTGCATCCTAATCAGGCTGCTACACGTATCTAGGTATATGATTGCAAGCGTAACCTGCCTACAAATTATAGAAGAAACCCTTCATCTCGTAGGCAGAGCACAATTAATCTATTGTGATTAGATTGGCGTGTCTGTCCGTGGTCTACGCGCTGTGTGTGTATGTGGTTGCTGGCAGTGTTCCGGCAGAACGATGTTCGATAGTCGCGATGAAGCGCCTGTTTGTGGTATTGATCAAGTTTGGCCAGGATCAATAACGGTGGCAATTATAGTAACGACAGTAACAGCGACGTTCTTCGGTAGGACGACTTAGCCCTGTACGATCGGGTGGTATAAAAACTGGATTCGTACTGCTCAAGCAGCTATTCGAGAACAGTGTTTCAGCGGTGATCGTCTATGAGCTCAGGCAGTGTGCCATAGTGGCAACCTGTTTAAAGTCTCCTGAATTAGATCCCACCTGAGTTCACTTCTTCGATATCGAGGCAGTTGTGATACGTGAAAATAAATGTGACCAGAAGTCAAACAGTTTTCTTAGTTCTTTTCGGAACCCCACCATGTACATTCAACAGAGAACGACGTTTATCCACGAGACTCCCTCACGAGTCTAAAATTAGTGATCAGGGAAACAAAAAGTAAAATTTTCAAACTCAGGGAGAGCGGTTTCACGTCATGAATGTTACCACACTGATGAGATGATGTTGCGTGTTCGAAACACCTGGGGATCAAAAGTAAACAAATTCACCCTTTCATGTCAGTCATTGCTCCAAAAGTACTTATCCTGTTAAGGCTGTCAATGCACTCCTAAGTTTTTAATGATCTACCTACGTGTCGTTCCTTCGGTATGTGCCACGTGGTCCAGTAGAGTCGGATTACTTCAGGTTACCCTTCATAATGCATCCACGCTGGAGTTTCTGCCTCTGGAAATACTCTTTAAAAAGATCGACCAAGACGGTATCTTCTGAGGGCAGGTTGCAGCTAGAAGGAAGAGACTATTCACCGAAGGATGCCTCTTCAGAGAAATAGTTTCCAGGGAGGACTCCTCCCCAGATACAGAATTTTATTTCAGAAACCTGGAAAGAACCCATGGAGGAAAAGTTACTGCAGCGAAAGCAGAAAACTAATTGGAACTATTTCAGCTGGGTCGAGTGTGATTTTACTTTGCAGACAGATGATGCACTCTCTCCATAATTTTGTATTTTATGTTGCTAATGATTGGGTGATGGAAAAACAAATGTTTGAATTTTAATTTGAAATTTTCTATGAATTTCCCATGAGCACCATGGCAAATACTGCAACAACAAAAATCCCGAAATATTCATTGGGACGTAGTTCACAAACCTGTGTTCGGGTGTGGGAAAGGATAGGTATATGTTCTCGTGGGAGCGTTCGTATTACACCAAGTTTACACTTATTCTGGGCAGTGGGAAATCAAGTAATTGGCAGCAATAATGATCCTCCCTTTTCGGCAGGTGATCTGAATTTTCTCACTTCAATTTTGTCTCTAACCAAGCAGCAGAGAAAAAGGACTGACGAAAATTATAACACTTCTCTACTCCTACGCACCGTACTGCATAGATGCGCTGTCGCCGGAACAAGCACACTCTCAGAGTTATGCTTACAAGGTCGCCTTTCAACCAAATAAACAAAATAGAGCCAATGATCCATGATCTCTTTAAGCTCCGTTCTACCTTTTTTTGGAATCGCATATCCTTGGGGGAGTGGGTAAACACTTGAATGTATTGACCACATTGAATGTTCAGATAATTGAAAACTAAATCTTACTGGTTGTTGTCTGCTCTTGATGACTTGGTTTCTCGCCAGTGTTTTACGGACGACCACAGCAGCGATCGCTCTGGAATTTCGAAGGTGAACCCTAAGAATAAGTAAACTATTACTACCTCCTTGGACCACGTACAGTGAAAGGTTGGTGGATGCAAGTTAAACCGCAATTAAATGTCCCTTCGACCCGAAAACCGGTCTCTTATTTTTATTGTCCATGTTAGTCAAGTTTGGAATTGGCTAGAAGTGGCTGTTTTCCATGCGGCTACCTAGACAAAATCGGTCAGATTTAATAATCACTCAGGTCGCTTCCTCAATGAAACACGATAACTAACTGATTTCTACTCAATGTTGGCAAGTTTTATATCATGACGTCTTTCTTAGCTGTTGTGGAACCAAGGAGTTCAGAAAGATGTATGAGCCGAATTTCCGTTTTTTGTCGTATTCAAAGACCAGTCGTCCGGTGATGTATTTCACAGCATCAACCTTGCATGGGATGCAGACCTAGTGAGAACCCACTAGTATCCAAAATATCAGGGAATACTGACCTCTTACCTTAATAATCAAGAATTCAGTAATCAAGAACTGTTATCTGTCATTCAGGGACTTCTTGTTTTCATGCTAGAATCGACGTCCATGAAGTCGGCTTTCCGAGGAACACCCTTACACCTGACTGTGATAAGGTTTAAGTGACTGAGAAAATCACTCTTACGATTGCTAGAATTCAGACTTTTTGTGAACCCTTTTTTGGTGCACACAAACCGCTTGTTCTGAAAGAACAGTTGTATCTGCCTGCGCATTGGGCGAGCTGGGTGCGCACACAAGTTGACTGCGACAGTATCGACTTTAACTCCATCGGGGAGGATAAACACCTATTTCCATGGTCTGGTCGTTGGTGCACCATGTCTAGCAGATTGATTAGTCAGGCTTGAATTTCGTCTAGCATGTAGCTTAAAGTGGTTATGATGGGAATACGTTGCATTCGTTGAAATAGTTTAATTTTTTTCACCATCATTCTATGTTTTGCTTCGTGTGTTCTGTGGAAGGACAACACACCAGCCGCCAACATAACGGGGCTGAATCGAAATTACATACTAGCCAGAAAGGTCGTAAGAACGGCACCATGAATGTGAGAAAACTAATGGATTCACGGCATCCTGGTAGTACGTCGTAGTTGAAATCCGGTATACGGGATTGGAAGATCGCTCCGTCTTGACCACCCCAAATATATTAGGCGAAATTCGGAAGCATACGGTTGTATTTGACTCTAGGAATTTTCTACACTGAAGAGCTTCTTTGAACTACTCTCAAGGAATCTGGATGGCCCGTTCCCATTGGCCGTGTTTAACGGAAAAAATCATGTGCTAACCAGTGCCTGCTACAGGACTTTTGACTTTCACGTGTAGTTAATTACAAACGATAGGAAAAGTTGAACCTGACATGCAAACGGAGAGGCATGATGAGAATGATTACTAGGTTTGACCATACATGTGTTATTGTGAGCAAGGCACCTTCCTTATTGAGTAATATACCAAATGGCTTGGTATCATGTTAATCTGATGTTCGAAATGTCTCTTCCCATGTCTGTACCTTATTTCTCAGTGGCTTTTTATTGTCTAATTTAAACCTCACCTGCGAATGTTAACAACTGGTACATGTCTTCTCTGTGTTTATTCTCCTAAAAGAAGCACAAATTGGTTCAATTTATGCTTCTTTACCAAATTCTAAGTCACTTAGATCACATTTCCATGACCCTTCGACCAAACAGTCTGTGAAAAATCAACTACTGAGGTAGTTTTTCCCTTATCTCCTTCGAACAAAGCTCACAACTTACAGCTGTCCACTCCGGATTAGTGTCCCGGTGATCAGTGGGACGTGGCAGGGAAAGGAAAAGTAGGACAAAGCAATTCGTTTGCACTGTTCTTGACACCAGTGATTTGTGGGCTGTCGAAATTAGAAAACAGTCTAGGTTAGCCTAACTTAGAATGTTTTTTTTTATTGTAGGACACCTAGTGCCAAAATCTGAAGCTGGGAAGTCATTTGGCATAGTTCAGTTAGTGCTGATTGTTTGTACTTCATTTTTAAGTGTATCCTTAATGGAAACACAAACATATGACAGAACTCACTTCAAAATGGCTAGTTCTTTGATTACCTCATAACAACTCCAACATTTCCACTGTTCATAACCAAGTCGCGTTTATCAGTACATTATACTGACTAACAAACACATTATCTCACTTCCTTTATCTAGATTTACGAGGCCGGGGAGAAAATGGCCTACTGTCGATACATCAACAAGATGTTAAAAAACGATCCCGACTGCCGGCCTTATCTCCCACTGGATCCTTTCAACGATGATCTCTACAAAACAACTAAGAACGGTGTTGTACTTTGCAAGCTAGTCAATATCGCATTTCCCCGGGCAATCGATGAGCGCGCTGTGCACAAGAATACCATCATCTTCTACCCGAGTCAAATGGTCGACAATGTACTTCTTGCGTTGACCGCTGCACAGTGCAACGGATGTCCTGTGTCTGATTTTGTAGTGGATGATTTGACGAACAATTCAGCACTATCTCGATGTATCATTCTCGAAGTCGTGTGGCAGATTATTAAATGTGGTTTCTTCCGTCGAATGAACTTACATGAACATCCTGAATTGTGTAAACTAAAACAAACGGAGGAGGATATCCTTGATGTGAAATGCGTGCCCCCTGAGGATTTGCTTATGCGGTACGTAAACTTTCACCTAAAGTGGGCAGGGGTGGATAAGCGATTGAATGATATCGGAATCGAGTTGGCTGACTGTGTAATCTACGCTCATCTGCTACCTGCCATAGCTCCTGTCACAATTCGCGGTCGTCTTATCCCACCCGGGCAAGTCTTAGTCGACGAAAATATTGCGAACCGCGCCAAAGCAGTTCTACAAAACTTACGTGAAATGGAGGCAGACATGTTTCTCTGTTTGAACGACTTCACTGATAGCCATATTCACTTGCAATCAAGAGCACGCTTGCATTTGGCAACAATTGCTTATCTGTTCCTGCAATTCCCCGGTGAATTGACGAATCCCCGTCGAATGAATGAGCATCCGGAACAAGAAGAGGTTTCAGAATTGAGTAGCCGCAACTTCGAAAACAGCTGTGCCGTAACACCTTTTGTTACACACAGCTGTGCTAGCCTACGCGATGGGCTGATATCGAAGCAACTGTTTGAAGTGCTGCGAACTGGATCAACCAAAGGTTTGAAATTCATCACAGAATTTCAACAGATTCGTAAAATTGCTCAGTACATTTATAACAATACAAATGTCGTACGACTGGTGCAGGGTTACCCGCTACCGCTACCCCACCTTGATTCAGAGAAGCTGTCTCGAACTGATAAGCCATGTTGTCTGAGCTTATTGCTAGAGCTGTTGCGAAGCTACATCGCCAAAGATCACTACGATGAAGATGAACTTCTTCGCTGGACCAACGAACAGCTCTATCGAGCCGGTCGTTCTGTGGAACTAAGAAGTTTCAATGACCGCGCTATTGTGGAGGAAAATCTGTTCGCGGTAGTGTTGAACAACCTGACAAATGGGATGGCAGACAGCAGGCATTTGACATCGAAAAAATTAGACAACGCGGCCTATTCTATTTCTGTTGCTCACAAAGCTGGCTACCCGGTCTATACTAGACCGGAACATTTTATTTCATGTAATGGTGCATTTGTTGCCTTGGCATTCGCAACACTACGTTGGCATCCACCAAGGCACTAAGCTGGCCTAGAGTGAAGCCCATATTTATCTTGCACTGCATTAATTTATTTTCTGCAGAGTAAACTTATTTGTCAACCCTGCTATTTGAACTCTTGAGCTACGAGTCTCTCGATTGCACTGGATGCTACTTATGACCTAACCACTCTTGGCTTCATTACTGATGGGGAACAACTGCCTGTCACTGTTGGTCAAATATTGCTCGCCTTCTATTTGGACCACAATTTCCTGAAGAACAGCAAGTGAACATCTCGGCTGGTATGGTTGACTGCGTAGCCCGGAAGTATTTGAGTTCCTGAACCATGCGTTTTTGTGCATTAGAGCAAAGACCATGTTTACGGGCCCTAAGATATCACAATGAAAAAACCGAAACAGTGCACTAATTCCGCATTCACTACTGAGTCTCTATCTTATTCAGAAGAGTAATAGTCAGATAATAAAGGAAAAGAACCTGGCGAAAGATAGATTAAGTAGATGTGAAATTGTTATACCTAATCATACACTAGGATCTACTCCCAAATTAGATAAGGGTGTGTAGCCTAACAGATCAACTATTCGCGTTGTTTAGTGGCTTTTATACTTCACTGCCAAGTCATCGTTTGACCAACTCTGGCTCATTTTCCCCCTCACTTGGTTGTGCGAAAAGTGAGCTTCGTGGAAGTAGGTCGACTGGCATACACACGTGGCAAAGCCAGCGCAACCTATGCGATGTGATCAGCTCATCTATCGAGGGTGTTTTATTTCTTCCGAATACCATTCCATGTACTTCAGCATTGCTGATCCGGTGTTCCCACTGAACTCGGGCATTGCTCCAAAGACATCGATGATCAAATATTGAAAGTCATTTGACGTCTTCAGCGCGCATCGGCCAGGTTTCTAATCCGTACAGTAGTATGGAGCGCACTGCAGCATTGCAAACTCAGCTGTGCTTCCGTCTTCCTGGATGGGGACTCGGGGACTGGTCACATCAATGGCTGGAGGCATTATCAGACTGGCCCAATCGCGCCCTCAATGGCTCTCGTTCATCCAAGCTGGTGCCCTCAGTGCATAGCTCACATCACAATCCTCCCACTTAATTGTCCAATGACAGTGCTGTATTTACGCACCAACTTATCAGCTCCCACCTCCAACGCGCAGCTACCTACCTCACCCCCCGAATCATCAGTGAACGAAACTGTGGCAGCTACAAACATTGTACGACAAGGAGGCGTTTCTTGCAGCTGACAATGATGATGATGATGATTGCTTAGTGGTACGGATTGACCATACCAGAGCTAATTTGCTGATTCGGCTGATGGCTTCTGTATCTGACTGTTAGTTTGATTATACTTAGTGGCCGATCTATTAAACGTGGTATCAGGGCTGGTTTGGTTATGTTCGGCCTGAATACGGCCACCTTATTCTCGTCCACTATTCTGTAGTAATCGCTTTACTGCTTACGGATTCGCAGCGGAGAAATTAGATTTTAATTTTACCAACAGCTGTAAAGTTAAAATCTAACTGACAGTCCACAGGTCATAAACAGCAAGGGAAATTCTACACTGGCGCCTTATTTAACCTCGAAGTGTAGGACACGGCTTCAGAAGTTTCGGGTTTCATTAGTAGCCTGCGGAACCATCACAATATCTAGCCATGAACCGTGCACGGTTGTTCCAGTGATCCCATTTGTTTACTACTTTCAGCTCATCTTGATAAAACTTTGTTCGCCTACTTTCTCGCACAATTTAGGTCTTTTATGACGGACTGAGCAATTTTGACCATTGATCAACGCTCCTTTGCACAGAGTTACGAGTTACTCATCCGCTCACAGTTTTTATTTACACCAGAACGCACCGGACCCTTTTAGGTTAGCCACGAAATAAACCGAACTAACAAAACAAACGGAGAAGTAGTACGAGTGTCTCGCTCCTTTTCAAATATTACTCCATTTTTCTCGGAATCAGCAACGGAAAAATCACTTCTTTCCACAAGTGACTGGAAGCAGTGTGTTCTAGACTGCACTAGCTAGACTAATGATTTCATAACACTAACCCACGTTATTCCTACTTGTTTACTAGCTTTGGATTGTTTTATTTTGCAACGGTTGGCCTCTGTGATAGGATGAGTCAGCTTCTCATTTTTCCCACTATTGATAGTCAGAAGCCAGCTCTAAACAGCGCTAGATTAAATTTCTGGGATAAAAATCTCCAATTTACTCGTTGAGTAGAATGGTAAAACCCAAGTGTCAAAATGCTGTAATGCAGATTACCAGACTACCACATTTAATGCGGAAGAATACCCTTTGGGTGACTGTGTGCGTGAAGAAAATTGTACTACTGGTGCTGATCGCGGTTTCAACGAAGACTGAATAATTGGCGAATGTATAAAAAACACCAAGTGAGTGTCAACAAAATAATCGAGATGCACAGTCTGAAGGTTTGGTCATTGGTGGACGCCCGAATTCCCCTTCTCGCCGCATCGCAAATCAACTACAAACTCAACTCCAGAACATGCTAGTACCATACTGGAAGCTGAGATCAGGAAAGCAAACAACGAAATCCTGTTAAAATTGGGGCCGAAATTCCAGAATCCGGCGCACGTTAAGCTATGATCCATGGTATTCCTCCTACAATGGAAGCCACTCACCCTGGTTGAGTCGTGGTTAGTTAACTCGTACTCTCGATGACTGATCATGGGACATAGAATGGAAGATTTCAGCTCCAGTATTTACGAGATTGACTTTATACTAGCTTTTGTGAACGTTTTTTCACCTTCCTTGAGAAGTAGGAACCCAGTTTATACACAGCATTCATACGAATTAGATAGTGCAAGATATGGCTGCTAATCGATATCAATGGCGTTCGTGTTGTCAGTTTCCAACCAGATTGTTTGAATGGGTGTTTGGAGGTGCAGACATCTCGGAATAAATGTAGTAAGGTAGCACTGAGTACCTTCCCTATCCACCTTCATTCCTTTCTTCTCAACAAAGCCTTCAGCTAAATCATGGTTGTACGGCAGTGAAGCATCAGTGTTAAACACTGGTGTCATGCTGTCCATGATGATGATAATGAGGTCAAGTGATTGCTGGGGAGCGATATTCATACACCTCGGGAGGAAAACCGTCCTTTCTGTTGGAGATGGTCGACAACTAAACAAATCACTGCTCGACTGGGTGGCCAACAGTTGATATCGACAATTTAGCTGTACTGCCGGTTTATTAGCTTGTTGAGGTATACTGTCCATTTTTTCTTCTACTTGGTATATGCTAACAATTATCTACTTCTAACTTAGAAGACAAAAGTGCATTTTTGGTGCGTCCAATCCTTCGAAACAGGAGATGTCTATAGTTGGTGTCGATTTCCGCTACAGACATTCGTGTGATGCCTGCGTTTGGTGGTCTGGTCTCAGACAGATAGTTATTCTGTTACCATAACTACTCACCACAGTGCAGACATTCCAGCAAACGATATGCACCGGTGTCTTCTGTCGGCAGCCCCAGCTCAATTATCGTTCGTTCCACCCACTAAGTTACCATTCGGTGCGTCACTTTCCAGATACGCCGTAGCATCGTTTCAGTTGAATTATTTTAAAATATTAATTGGCTGGTGGGTATGACACAACTGACGTTGCAAAAGTTATTCCGCTTTCGTTCGAGGAGGCACCTCTAGTACTTAAACAACTGAGTGCTATCTGCAAGTCACCGGGGAGACCATTGAGGCCGATGAAACTGAATCTCCATCGTGAACGATAGACTCCGTATGTGATTTCATTCGCGAATCCTGCCGAAAATGACTGATGTTGGTGTCTACCAGCCTACAAGCATTGACGGGAAACCTGTAGATCGTATGTCAAACAATAGAACAGATACCTACTTCCACCCACTCAAAGTAGCGAAAATTTCACTACGAGAGAGTAAATAGGACAGTCTACACGGTAGCATTTATTAGGGTGCAACTGGCGAATTCCCACGTCCCCTACAATACGCAACTCCGACCATACTGAGGCGTTCCAAGGCTACTCAATACTCATGAATGGTTTTGTGTAATACCTGGAGTTTTGTGTTTTAACACATCAAAACTTTTTGAAGCAGTCAGAGAGTGCGAACTAGGTTACATACTGTACAAATGGAACCATTCGAATTCAATTCACAGATTGTACCATCGCCTTCAGTGCTCGGCTGTCGTCCTGTTATTCTACTTCTTTGCTAACGAGACGGAGTAGCTGGAAGAATTGCTCTTCGAGGCAGGGTTTATGAGCTGAATTACCGGACTGAGTTGCACGCAACGCACATCTGAAGTCAAATGCTGCCATTCGATAGCCTGCTTCAGTAGATTTTTCTGTCGCAGCCGGACTAGTTGATGGTTATGTTGAGATAACTGTAATTACCTGTGAGAAAAAAAGGAAGTCGCTGCTCAGCCATTTGTGGTCAGCTTCCCAAGGAAGTGAGCACTACAAGGTTAAGCAGTTACAAGAGTAGCCCATTTGCTATTTCCCGCTTCTGTTGCACTAACTGAGCTACAGTTTAATACCGGCAGATATAGCGCTGATGCACATGTTAACTTAAATCTCCAAACTATTTTCAAACAGTCCTGATAATGTCTGATGGGCAGAACTGCAAAAGTCAGTTTTACATTGATCAGTGTCATAGTATGTGGTCACTGTTATTAGTCAGCTGATCAGGTTAACATGGTAACAGGTTGGGCTAGTGGTGACCGATTTGAAAAAGTGATCTGCGAATCTGGCTGAGGCAACCTTAGCGGTGACTTTTGAGATGTAATTTGCATGCAGAGTTGCGCTGTAGAATGCTTCTTTAATTTTCATCACATAATGTTTACTACCGCTGCGGGAGTACACTTTAGTCCTGCTTCAAAATGAAACAGTGGTAAACGAAACCATCCAATCTGCTCTGAGAACCATATTGATCAATACTAAACACTCACACGGCAACATACGTTTTGATGACTGACAGGGCATTGAACAAAGGGCGTGCACCGTTAGGTAGCTTACTGCTTGGTTCTCACTAA